TCGGCGCCGAGTACGAAGCCGGTGCGGATTGGGCTGGCTAAAATCCGAATCTAGGAGAGTTCACCAGTCCTCCCGGAGCACAATGCTCCTCGAAATTCGACACCCAGGGAGTCGTCTCCGCCGGCCCAAAGTTCGACAGCCTCCCCGAGAAACCCATCATGGAGTAGAAATCAGAGTGGTTGAAACTCGACAATCTCGGCTATGGTTCCTCGACGAGCTCAGGCTGTAAATCTCTGCACCAATGAGGTTCGACGGCCACGGCATCATCACGAAGGACCGCCTCCCCAAAGTTCGACAACCTCCCCGGCTATTGTTATTTTTCAAATACAAAAAATTACTTTTACAAAAAATAATTATAATATAAAACTAGCGTAAATATAAAAATTAAATTTTAAAAACATTTTGTGGTTACGTTGCACCTCAGTTTATTTATGCAGTATTTGTTATAAATAATATATTTGTAGTTATACTTTAAATATCACACATGTCACATAATATAATCAAACCTATTTTTATTTCATGATTGACATTTTATTTTGATTGTAAGTCCTATTTTTTTGAATAAAGATATGGAACTTTTTTTTTTACATTTTAATGTTTTTGCAACGCCACGAAAACCGTCTAGAAGAATTTACTTCATACGTCTTGAACCAAACATGAACACTATGTTCAGTTCAAGGAATTTGGAAGAAATAGAAAATAAAATGATTTTCTCTTATTTCCTCACCAAAATGGGAAGAATTTGGTTTTTCTTCCACTTACTATATTTTGTCTTCTCATTTTCTTTTCTTTCCACGTTTCCTTTCTTTTTCCCCTCATCCACCGCCGCCTCATCTACCTTCATCGCCGCTAGAGATAGAAATGTCGCCTCCATCGTGGCCGCCGGCCACCGTGGAGATAGAACCGCCGTCGCCTCTTATTTCGTTGCGATGGAAACTGATATGCCGCCACCGCCTATCTCACCACCGACGGAGACAGAAACCTGCGCGCCTCTTTCTTTGCCGCCGGTGAAGACAGAGCCGCTGCCTCCTCCTCCTCCTTCATTGCCGGAGACAGAACTGCCACCGCCTTGAATGGAGATTGGAGATCTCCGCAAACCCATGTACCAGTTGCTCCAAAATATTGACTTAGAAGAGGAATCTATATTAAATCTTCTCTTTTAAAATTGAAATCAGCAATTAGATGGATATATCAAAAAACAGCTTACACGCAGAATTCTAATATCTTCGGATATGGAAGCTGAAATCCTTTGGCTACTCACCAAACATTAATTTTAGAAACTCCATATCGGAGATATGGAAACACATATCTGATTTCTTCACCAAACATACCCTGAGAGAGAATAGTTTTCATTCTACTTACACAGAGAATTCCCCATCCAGTGGGTATGAAAGCCAATATGCAGGCAAATACATCCGCAATAGATAGGTCAGTAAGTGCAACAGCAGTGGCTAAACCAGCTAGTGCAAGCAAAAAGGAAAGGCCTTGGACAAAGCGCAACAACAACTGGAAATTAACTGATATTTTCTGGCTGAATGTGAACACCTATTAAACCGCAGTATAGATACGGATATTAGTACACGTGATAATCAACCCTTTAATTTATTAGTATGGAACATAGTGAGATCAGAATGCTCAATGATATGTGTGGTCTAACCTTGAAGAGGATCAAAAGCACCGCAAATACAATCCATGAAAACCCACAAACCTAAAAAAAAGGCAAGCAATCAATTGACCATATTATTAAGCAAAAGTCAGTTAGATTATATGGATGAAGAGTAAATAAAGAATGAAAGCTCAGCTGTGAGAACTCTACCGTCAGAGATGTATTATCTCCCTGTAAATGTAGCTTGTATACAGTGCCATATTGAAATATAAAAAACCTTAAACTAAGAATGGTCTCCATCAGCCTCCCCCCTAATGTTCGAATATGAGCCTGTTAAGAAAGTAGAGAAGATAAGAAAAAATAACTGAAATAGGCAAGATTGCATTAAGCTAGAAGAAAAATTACTATACCAGCTCCTCATCCCACCAAGCCTCCCAACTTTCTTCTCCTTTAACTCCAATTCCACCTCTATACAGAAGC